AATTGCATTTCGCAAACCTTTTTCATGCCCACGACGATGAACATTGACAGTCAAAGCGCATTGAAGGTTGCCAATCGCACAGGCACCGCCAAAGGCACGAAACACATTGGACTTCGCGCACATTGTATCCTAGATTGCGCTCAACAAACATGATTACCCTTGTCTACAGTAATATGCACGATTATCCAACAGACGTACTAACGAAAAGGCCACACCCAAACATAAACACTTCACGAACATGTTAACGTCTAATCAAAGCACAGTATGACCCCTAGTCAGTGGTCAGGCGAAGTTTCAGGAGGTCGTACCGTACTACGTTTCTAGTTGACCCCTAACTTTACAGTCACTGGTTTTTCCTTGGAACCGATCTCCATGGACACTAGAACATGTTTACTATTCTACTTTTCTTCATTTTATAATACCTATACACTCAACTTAATAATAATAAACATCAGTCATTCCAAAACATAGTTTTAAGTGTTTAATATATTTACTGTAAAGGTCCTCGGCTTCTAGTCTGGAAGCGTAATTTAATAGTCTCAAATTGGTCGCTAACTCACTGTGCGTCGAGCCTTTATACTGCTCACGCAGACTCTCGTGCAACGGTGTTTCGGTTCGTTACTCCGAATCGCGCGCCATTGTGATGGCAACTCCGGGGCCCGTCAACCCTACTGACAATTCTGGACTGTTCGATGCCAACCCGCTCTTACAACCCGCCAAGCTGGATTTGTAGAAAGACGGCCTTCAAACATGTGGGGCGACCAGAATAGAGTGACAATGGATAAGAGTAGGTACATCGAGTAGAACTAAGTAGGAGGCATGATATGGACAGCCAAGTCAGCAGTAAGTAGTATATGAGAAAGGCGATGGCCGTAGAACATCAGGTAGTAGAGGTAGGGGTTGTAGCATCGACCTTCGGCTTCCACGCAATAAGTTGGGCTTCGCGGTAGACAGGGTCACGAGCAAGTTTATAAGTGCAAAGTGACATTGGTTTCGAGAAACTGCTGGTCACGGGATGAAAACCGTTTATGGTTAACCTTCTATCGCTTGGTAGCCGTCAAAGCTTGAAACAAGCGGAAAGCCGAGTTCGACTTATAAAGAAACTAGATCACAGAAGGACGAGGCGAGATTCGTCAATCTCTGGAGCTTCACGGCATTTGCTAGTATGAACAATCCATTAGTAAAACAGATTTTTGTTGGGCGCCTACCTTGTAACGCTTGGTATTAGTCAAAGCTTACAACAACCGGAAAGCTGAATTCGACTTATGAAGAAACTGGATCACAGAAGGATGAAGCGAGATTTGTTAATTTTCGGAGCTTTACAGCATTTGCTAGTATAAACAACCAATTGGTATGAATGTAATTTTCCGGGTGCCTTTGACGACAGGGGCAGGGATACCAAGAGGCATCCGATGAGCCTTGAGTTTGGATCGGTGAATGCAATATGTCCTCGCCGTAGCACAATCTTGAACCACATGCTTTACTGTTGGTTCTAAGGTCATCACAGTAGCTGCATCTCCCCCCAACGCACTGTAGCAGAAAACAGCAATGGTTTCTTCTGGTAGAGCACCTTGCGGTCAACAGCAAACATATGCGCATCATGGCGGTGACGATTTGCCTGGATGGCTTGGAAGGCTTCAGCCTTGCGGTTTCGTTCCCAAACAGCACGTTCGTGATCCTTAGGTGGTGGAATAAAAGAAATAGGATCAGCGCCTTCTGGAGCAGAACGATTATAAATCGATTCAGATTTTTTATAAGAGAAGTGGTGAAAGATACGACCCGTAATAAGAGAATAGGGGGCAATGTTCGTGACGGAATTCACACTAGAAAAATATCACGAGCAAACCATTCGTTCAACCTATACAAGAAACGTATGTACTAGGTTTCAACCAGTCCGTTGCTGCGGTGGTCACTCACAGTAGAAATGCGATAAGAAATACCCTCGGACAAGTAAGAGACTACAGGACTCAGGCCAGATTTTACAGCAAGAAACCATCTTTGATTTATAGAAGTCATCAGGGTTATCTCACTCCCGAGAGCTAAGTCATCGAGTTAGCTCACTCCCGAGAGCCAAGTCATCAGAGTTAGCTCACTCTCGAGAGCTAATCAAGTTGCTTAAATTAATCCCAAGAGTTGAGTTATTACTTAACCGACTTCCGAGAGCAGATTAAGTTTCTCAACCGATTCCCGAGAGTGGATTAAGTCTGTCAACCGCAACATTCTAAAAATAGCTGCGGTTTTATGTGAGTCATACCCTATGCGGAAAGGCATCATGTGATCAGCGTGAGATTTAAATGCAGAGAAGTTGAAATAGAATAGCATCGAAGTGTTAAAGTGTTCTGCATAGGGTCTCTCATCCTGACCATATGAGTTTCTACCCTGGCCAGCTCAAGCGGCTTAATTCTAGTACAAACACCTTAGGTATAAAACCAAGATTTTATTTAAAGTCTGCTACATTGCGCTCTAACAACAGGCATCACTTTGCAAACTATGTACACTTGAAAGGTAAATCCCGATCCACGAAATATGTGCCCGTGGCCGCTCATTGTTCAGGCTGGATTTTCATCATCTGAATGACATCAGAAGAAGTGTTTTCGTCGTTGCGGAAAGGGGCACAATGTACCTGCCGAATATGCTCGTCAATACAAAACAGACCAAATTTTTAATTCTGACTATAAGGAGACATGAACTTGTATTGCAGATGACGGACGGCACCAAGATAAATAGCTCTATCAGGCTGGATTAGTAACCCCATAAAAGGTCCAGACTCTACACCGTGGGTAGCACAACCCAGGCAAGTGTTGAGGACCATCGAAAGTGCTCAAATAACATTTTTGCATGACGTCGTAGACGAAGGCTATAACATCAAGGACATCATGAGGGAGAATTATTCAACCCTGTGCAGTATATGTGGCAGCAGCCAACTCAGCCAAGATGGGAGGTAATGACGGGGCTACAAAAGCAGTTGTGGGCAGCTGTGGTCGAACAGATCGATCAACAACGACTCGTGTAGTAGGCTGATCGTCTGGAATATTAGTAGAGACCCAATGAGGTCAGGGCGGAGTGAAGGGCGGCAACTCGTGATCTAGCGGTTCAGGCGAAAGTAGATCAGACGCAGAAGAATCAGGAGGAAGTTCATCCAAATGTGACGAATCAACACCAGATATAACTGATACAGGCACCTCCCCTAAGTGCCCACCATCTGGTTTTATGTCAGGTTTCAACCACACACATAACATCAACCTGATCTAAAATGGATATAACACACTTATCTGATTTCGTCAGAGTATTCATGTTGAGACCTCGTGGGTTAAGAAGCGTCATCCGCATAAACATTGGTCGTCCTATCACAATTTGATAACGGGTTCTGCTGTGCTGATTTCCATGTCGTCATCTGCATCACGTGCTTCCAGTTGATCTGCCTTCTCCAAGAGTCGGGAAACCGCTGATGTGGCAGTTGGGTTGCGTGCGCAGTCTTGGGTTATGGGGTTACCACGTTTTAATTGAAATGCCCACTCAATGAGTTCGGTTGTAGATTTGAGGATCTCGATATCTACTGATTGCGTCAAAGGGTTCAGGTGATTTAGAAAAGTCACATTATGTCAGGTTTCAACCACACACATAACATCAACCTGATCTAAAATGGGTATAACACACTTATCTGATTTCGTCAGAGTATTCATGTTGAGACCTCGTGGGTTAAGAAGCGTCATCCGCATAAACATTGGTCGTCCTATTACAATTTGATAACGGGTTCTGCTGTGCTGATTTCCATGTCGTCATCTGCATCACGTGCTTCCAGTTGATCTGCCTTCTCCAAGAGTCGGGAAACCGCTGATGTGGCAGTTGGGTTGCGTGCGCAGTCTTGGGTTATGCAGTTACCACGTTTTAATTGAAATGCCCACTCAATGAGTTCGGTTGTAGATTTGAGGATCTCGATATCTACTGATTGCGGCAAAGGGTTCAGGAGGAGATCCAGGCTTTTGCCGATGATATCAGGTGCCAAGCCTGCACCGCATCGGGCCTCGCGCTTGATTCGAAATTAATGTATAATTGCTGCTTTGGCTGAAACTGAGTGCTTATTGGAGCGGTGATCGATATTTGGTCAAGGCGCCACTTCCAATAATCATTCGCAATTCGTTTCAAGCTGGCTTCGACCTCAGCGGGAATACAGATGCGAATAATGCTGATTGCTCGGTCTCGACGGTTGCGTTCGGAAATTGGTTTCGATGGCAGATACCAGAGAAGATAGTGACGATTCAAAATAGGGTGGGAGCGCCACACTTCTTCGAGGGTATAGAGCGAGGGAGTCTTGCCATTTGAAAATACTGCTTTGAAGAAGAGCCAGACAGGAGTTGTAACCGTCAATTCGTCTAGAGATTTTTCCGGCAGCGGGGGACCCGTAATTTGTGACATAGATTCTTCAGAAACTGCTGGGCGGGCTGTTACTTTTGGAACTGGATGGGATGGCCGTGTTTTAGGGGACGGTTTTGTGGATTTAGTTACTTTGGAACGGTAGCTGGGCTTATTGGTGCGCAAGCGTTTTGCTGGTGTAGTGATCGTGGTGCCATCTTTTGTTGGTCTTGAAATGAGCTCACACCAAATTGAAATGTATTTGTGCGGTTGTTGTATGGCGTTGTACTGAGGCGGGATTGCCGGTCCACGATTTTCCCTTGTAAGGGGTTTCCTAAATGTGGAGCGACGCGATAGACTTGAACATATTTGCCCAGGTGAAGGAGATTGTGTGCCAGGAACATTGGTGGGGGCTGGAAATTTGCACCGACATTTCGCCGGGCAAACTGGGAGCCCCAGCAAAAAAAAAATAGGAGAGGGAGGGGAGGGGGGAGGTTTCTTCTTTTTTTTCTTTTGCGGGCTTAGAATTTCAGATCAGAGCGGGTCTGGAAAGTTTTATTTCCATCTTCAGTTCTACACTGGTGACCTCGGGGTAGCCGAAAAGACGGTTCAGATTCCAAATTTCTGTCAAAGGGTCTGTGGTGAAAAATGAAAAGGGGAAGTACATCATTTCACATCCTACCGGTGATCTAAGTAACGATAGTGATGAACAGGGAAGTGTTTGCGAATGCAATCGGATCAATGTAAACTTCGATGGATATTACAAAGGTTCAAACTATGTTAAATAAACTAAAATACAATTTAAGTTGGAAGAAATTTGGCAATGGTAGCTTGTGTGAAATCGATCGGGATTGCCTCTCGGTAAGAGTCTTGATATCCTCGATCATACAGTACGTACCTCTAGCTGTTCCTTATTGAATAACTTTCACTAAGAATACTAAGTGTTCATGACCACATGAAAATTTTATAGATGAGCATAAGAACGTAAGTCACGTTAATACATTAGCTATATAAATAAAGTTGTTCCATCTGATGAAAAGTTAAAAAAAGAAAAGACATATTGGAGATTGGAGATTGGCGGGAGGACCAAAATCTGTAAATACAGGTTCAGAGATTATAAAACTTAGTTTATAATATCCCACATCTACTTTATGTCCAATCAAATAGTCTTACCAAATACTCAGGCTATTGGAGCCATCAAAGTGAAATTAGAACACTTTGGAAATATTGAAAAAAGAACTTGTATTAAATTATTTTTAAGTACAATTAAAAAGCAATGTGTCATCTCATTTGATTTTGATATTTTAGACTGATCGGAGGCCGTACTTCTACATAGCCCCCAGTAGCCTTTAGAACTACAAACGTGCGTGAAGGTACGATCTAGTTTGTAAAGCGAAAATCAAAGTAAACCGGTTTTGATCATGGCTTATCGAGTAAGTACGTGCCTATATGTACGAGTTCACGACTCATGTTATACTCTATGTCGTTTAGTATTTGGTCCATTATAGGTTCAGTAACCATTTCCGATGTAGGCACCATACGTTTATTACTTAGCAAGGTACTAGCCAAAGGGGTTTCTTCATCAGTAAGTAAGTTTGAAGAATTTTCTGCACTGTTGGTAAGGAGATCAGAAAGTTTAGTCACATAGGAAGTAGGTGACAATAGGGAATCTGAGATCCGTAAGGGTTTGTGTAGTCACCTGGGGAAACCCTTCCCGTTTATTTCGTGTGTTTTTGTGTAAACGCTTATTCCATTTATTGTTAAAGACACGAAAGAAGTTGCGATATTTGTCCCATCCATAAAATGGGTCTTGTAGTAAGTGCAACCGTCTTCGAATGTTTTGTCAAATATGTCTTTGACTTGTGACTCCATAACTAGACATCAGAATCAAATGAGCGAACGAATGAGAGTTCAGAGGTAGGGATACGGTGAGTGCCTAGATTAGTTGCGCTGATACCATATATGTCATTTACTTCGTGAGTATCACTCTTCTCATCATGGTAGGAAATAACAAGATGTCCAATTGTCTTAGAAGAGAGTTCGGTATCGTTGGCGTTGCCATTTATAATGTTAACGTAATCGCCAACTTTGAACTGAACAGTGTTCTTAGTGTTATTCTATCGGTCACACGCTTTCAGTAGGATGCGATTCTTGTGCTCGAGTAAACAGGGGCAAATAACATTCTGCGTATGCTCGATCTTTTGTAGCCACGGGGCAACGTGATTCTAGGGCGCAGTTTTGTCTAACGTTGCTTGTAATTCACTATAGCGGCCAAAGAAATAGTAAAACGAGAGTGTTCCAGTTTGAAACCCCCATTTCAAATGATAATGCCACATATCCTCAACGTCATCTAGTGCGGTACGCAAGAGTTTCTTAAGTTCCCTATGACGTGTCTCATTTGCACCCTGCGTTTGAGATTTATAAGGAACGCCACGCCTATAGGCCATGCCTGATACGAGTATAAGTGCCTCTATTACGTCGGTATAAAACTACCGTTATCAGAACATGGTACTCGGAGGAAACCGAATCATTAAAGACGTGATAGCATAACTCTGCCACTCTTTGCGAGCGTTTGTTCGGTATTGCATAAGCAGATTGTAGCCCGAAGCCACAAATAAGAAATGGCATAAATATACATTGTCAGTATGCTTAGATCGCGGGAGTTTAACCAAATCGACTATGACTCGCCGCATCGGTTGGTCTTCTGTCACGCTTTGTAGGGGTGCCCAACCATTGTGCTGAATCTGGTTCTTTTCACAATCAGTACAGCATCGGTATACTTCACGTATGGTTTCTTTCAGCGCCGGGTGATCAAGCCCTAGACGGATAGTCATTTTGTAAGTATGCTCTTATGCTCAATGAGGTAAACTATGTATTATTTTAACTCTACTCTCAAGCTCTTCTATGTCAGCCAGATTATGTGTAACACTGGTTGGGTGAAACATAGTTCCGTGTATGCTCATATGCTCGATGAGTTAAATGTACTATTTTAACTCTACTCTCGAGCTCTTCTATGTTAGCCAGATTCTGTATAGCGCTGGCTGGGTGAACCGTAGTCCCGTTAAATTCTGAGATACGTACTTAACAACAACATATTGTTGAAGTATCTTCTTCAGTTGTTTCGCAACGCCTGGCTGTTCTTTAAGCAGCGTTTTAAGTAGTTGAGTGCAAGCTTCAGGGTTTAGTTCCCTTAGAGCTTTGAGTCTTTGATCCATGGCCTTAGTTACAGTTTCAATTGACATTACCTCGACTGCATTCTTGTTGGGTGCATGTGTTGTACGAGTCTCGAGCTTTTGTTCAAATTGTATAGACTCCTCTTATTTAGATAAGAACTCGGTTGAGGGTTCCCACTTAGTGGTACCTGCAGGATCGATGCGAAAAACAATGGTGTGTTTCCAAGGGGTCTTCTTTATAAAATAGGATCCCTGATACAAGAACGTGTCGGTTTCACGGTCGACATAGATGGGTTCGTCTTGTATCATATTAATTAAATCACATATAATTAACAATTGCGCGATAACTTCCAAGGTGGGCTAGCCCACGCATTATGCTTTGATAAGTCAAGTTGAAAGGCATTACCTTTGGGATTAGTCAACGACCTATATTCAGAAACCTGTTTGTTATGTTCTGCGGCGAACATATCCACAGTAAATGGACCCCATCGTGATTGAGGAGGTTCTACCATTTCATATTAAGCATCCAATCGGTTGTTAGTAGCTCTTTGACTGGTTTCTGGTAGTCAGGATCAAGTCGAGTGAGCATGTCAGGAAGATGGTTATGTATTCCTGGTGTGTGTGTAATGTTAAAAGTGAACTTAGCAATAATGTCATGCCAGCGGCTCCCAACTGTGAATCAGGGTTCATGTCCTTTAAGTATGTTAAAGACTTTTGATCACAGGCGACAATAAAGTAACTTCCGTAAAGGTAGTCTTTAAACTGTCTTAGCGCAGTAACTGTAGCAAGAAGCTCTTGTTTAGCGGTAGGGTAATTAAGTTGACTATTATTATAACTTTTGCTAGCCTCACCAATTGTGAATCAGGGTTTATGTCCTTTAAGTATGTTAAAAACTTTTGATCACAGGCGACAATAAAGTAACTTCCGTAAAGGTAGTCTTTAAGCTGTCTTAGCGCAGTAACTGTAGCAAGAAGCTCTTGTTTAGCGGTAGGGTAATTAAGCTGACTATTATTATAACTCTTGCTATAGAATGCTATGTAGCGCGGTATACCATTTATCGTTTGGTGAAGCACTCCACCTACCGCTCGATCTGAAGTGTCGGTTGCTTCTGGAATGGGACCCCAAACCATCCACAGGGTATTGCCTGATGGGTGCGCTCATTACTTTATTTTTGACTAGTTTAAATGCTTCATCACATTCTTCAGTCCAGAGCATCATCACATTCTTTAGTCCAAAGTATCATCACATTCTTTAGTCCAAAGCATCATCATGTTCTTTAGTCTAAAGCATCATCACATTCTTTAGTCCAAAGCATCATCACATTCTTTAGTCCAAAGCATCATTACATTCGTTAGTCCAAAACATCATCACATTTTTTAGTCCAAAGCATTCACAAAGGTCCTTTACACCGCCGGAGGTGACTGAAAGGCTTTTAAGTTATGAGAAAGACGAGGTCCCGGATCCGAGAATAAGTTGACAAACTCACACACAGGGTTCACGTTTCTTCGAGTAATCGGTGTTGATAAATCCAACAGAAATTGTTTCTTGCCAGGATCAACCTCTACCCCTGCTGAAGATACCTTATAACCAAATAAGTGTATAGTATCATTAGCAAACGAACACTTGTCCTCCTTAATTCTAAGTTTGGCATGGTTAAATCACTTTAAGACCTCCTTATCGAGTTTAGCGTGTTCATATGCCGTCTCTGTAAAGTTAACTATATCATTTAAATAGATTGATACTTTATCCGACAGGTCCGCAAATAGGTCCATCATTACTTGTTGAAAGAAAGAAGGAGACATGCGTGAGCCTTCAGGTACACCTTTAAACTGGTACTTCTTATCTTACCAAGCAAAATAAAAGTACTTCCTATGAGGCTAATATATCTGT